GCGGGGTCGGCCGCCATCGCCAGTAAACCAGGGCTCCGTCACATGTAGCGGTGGCTTGGGAAGACAGACGCCATCGCGCCGAACATCCCCCCTCTTCCTCCTCCTTCCCCCAGCTTTCATTGCTGAGCACGACGTCGCGCGGCGTGGAATATCCCTTCGGCGAGCTGGGCTCGGCTGTCGCGGCTGTGTCCTCTCCCTGCTTCTTGCCCATCCTGTGCTGTTTTGGCTGGGACAGTTCATTTTCTAGATAGAGGAAACAGCAGGGTGGGGCTGCGGTTTGGATTTGGGCTGAAAACAGCGTTGATAACAGGCGGGTGTTTTTGTTACTGCGGAGCAGTGCGGAAGGAAGGGCTGTTCTGCTCCTCGCCCCACCCCACCAGCGAGCAGCCTGGGGGTGGGCAAGAAGGGTCACTGCTTGGGACTGGCTGGGCATCGGTCGGTTGGTGGGGAGCAGTGGTTTTCATTTGCATCCCTTGTCTTCCCTGGGTTTCGCTTCTCTCTTTGTTATCTTCCTTTTCATCACAATTTATCGTTACCATTATTTTATGTCAAACCCGTGAGTTTTCTCACGTTTACCCTTCCGATTCTCTCCCCAGCCCGCTGCGGGGGGAGTCAGCGAGCGGCTGGGTCAGGCTCGGTCGCTGTCTGGGGTTAAACCACGACAAGTCCCAGGCTGCTCGCTGGAGTGGAGCAGAAAAGGCCTTGACTCTGTGTCAGTGCTGGCCGAAAAGCAGATTCTTTGCCCGGTGTGCAATAAGCCAACCCTCACACACTCAGGAGAGAGATTGCTTTATTCAGGCCCGGGTGCTTGGTGGGCTTTCCAGCTTCTTCGTGACGTCTGTGTATTGAATTCATGCGCTTTCTCTCTATCTATCGAATGCATATTCGTTCTGATCTACGTGAGTTGCATAACGATATGGCGTCCTTCTTCTTGGCTCCTTTTCAGACCCTTCTGCGCATCTCTTCCTTCTTTTGGGGGGTCTTTGGTGGTCCTCATGGTCCTCCCGGATGAAGTACGCTAACTCCTTTTATCCATAGGATAAAGCTTTTATCCATAGATGGTCGCGTGTCACCTCAGGACAACTTGAGGCTGCTTTCTTCTGCCAACGTTCCTTCGTTTCTTCCAGAAGGAGCATTTGTCTCTGATTAAACGGACGGTGCGGATGGCCAAGATACCCTATCTTTAGGCTTAGGTCAGACATAGCTCTTGTTGTGCACTGTTTGATCGAAGGGACGCTAATTAAACACGAACAATACCCCTTCTTTCCAAGGGAAGAACTGTTCCGTTACGTAAGCGCTGCTCAGCGATAGTGAAAACATCTCTGCATTATCAGTACGGTTTTCAGCCCAAATCCAAAACACAGCCCCATCCAGACTCCTGTGAAGACAATTATCTCTCTCCCAGCCGAAGCCAGCAGGTTCTCCACCCGTCATCGCACACTGTTTACATCACGCTCCGGTCCCATGCTCTCCAACACACCCTCATTAACCACTCCCCCCTCCCCATCCTTCGACACAATACGCAGGTGTCATTCCCTTTGTCTATCGACCACCCCTGCAAAAAATGTCCATAAGATGTCCATAAATGTCCACAAAATGCCCACGGAGTTGATACAGTCCATGACCTTGGGCCCCATCTGTTCTGGTGGCTGCTCAGGACAGGAGAGGTCGTGTGTTGTGGAGAGTTACTGGGGAACAAATGGAAATGGAGCTATTCTGTGGTGAGGCAAACGGGAAGGGGTCGTGCCCCTATTCTGAGTGCCATCGTTGCCTTCAGAGCATCGCTTGTGCGGGGCAAAAAGAGGAGGCATGGTGGAAGGAATTGAGTGCAAAGCATGATTCTCTTGGCAAAATGAAGCTGGATGACAATGACTGTCCCTGTTTGGACCATGGGGTGTCCCCACCTTGTTCACCAGCCTGTCTGGCCGTTTCGTCTACAGGCTGTCGGTGCCGCCAGCAACGGCTTTTGTAAACCCCCGGTGCCCATCTGCCTCGTTGAGAACACCCAGAAGACGGGGCTGGTGGTCCGGCAGGAAGCCCTGAAGGTGCTGTCAGAGGTCACCCAACCCGTGGTGGTGGTGGCCATCGCGGGGCCTTGCCGCAGTGGCAAGTCCTACCTGATGAACAGGCTGGCTCGTCAGAGAAAAGGTGAGGGAGGTCCCGGCCCTGGATGACCAAGGTACCTGGGTTTTGCTGCTCTGTATTTAACACCGATGAGGTCCTTGCATCCTCCCCACAGGTTTCTCCCTGGGCTGCAGCGTGCAGTCCCACACCAAAGGTGTCTGGATGTGGTGTGTACCTCACCCCTGCCAGCCTGGACACACTCTGGTGCTGCTGGACACCGAAGGGCTGGGCGATGTGGAGAAGGTATGGAAGAAGCAGATGCTGCCTTTGTGTTTTCCCAGCACTTTGTGGAAGCTCTTGAGGGCCCAGCCAGCTGTGGTGACCAGAGTCCAGGTGTTCCTGCTGCCTAGGGTGGCCTTCAGCCTGTGTGCTGGGAAGATCCAGAGGCCGTGGGGAAGGAGGTCGCGGTAGACAAGTTGCCACATTCCTCTGCTTTTCTGGAAAAGAGCAGCAGAAGAGGAATGAGGAGCTCAGGGAGCACTTTGATGGAGGTCTGTGGGACCTGGAGAGTTGAGAGTTGAGGATAAGCCCAGCTGCAGAAAGGCGTGGTGGTGGCATGGGAGTGGGTCTCTCCAAGAACTGGTCTCGGCATGGCCGGTTGGGTAGGGGCATGCAGGGTCTGGGGATCTGAGGCTTTGCTCACACTTAGGGGGTCTTGTTGGTAAGAGCCAAGGGTTGTTGTTGCAGGGCGACTCCAAGAACGACACATGGATCTTTGTGCTAACCGTATTGCTCTCCAGCACCCTGATCTACAACAGCAGAGGCATCATTGACCAGCAAGCCGTGGAGCAGCTGCAGTATCCTTGGTGGGAGAGTGGCAGCGGGGATGCCCTTCTTTCCCTGTGTGGTGGGCTAGGGGCTGACAAATCCCAGGTCCTCAGGCAGCTGCAGAACCTTCTGGTGGGGCCCAGTGACATGCTTTGAGTCCTGAGGAGTCCCATGTTGTGGGTCTCAGGGCTGAGGGTTTTTCTCCCTCCTCCTTCTGGTGGCTCCAGGCTGTTCTCTGTCCCCATGGAGTCTCCTCTCTTCCCCGTGAAGTGCTGGGTGGTTTCAGGGTGGTGATGCCCCTGCATTCACAACGGAGGTCCCCGTTTCCTTAGCCAGCTCCCTAGGTATGTGCTGAAGCTGACTGAGCATGTCAAATTGAAAGCAGCACCCAAGAGGAGTGAAGATGAACTGGAGGATTCAGAAAAATTTGCCAGCTTCTTCCCGACGTTTGTCTGGGCTGTCCGGGATTTCACACTGCAGCTGGCGTTGGATGGGAAGGAGATCTCTGAGGACCAATACTTGGAGAACACCCTGAAGTTAAAGGCTGGTAAGGGAATGGTGCTGTGCTGCTGGAGATGACCAGCCCCCGACACAGCAGCCTTGCGGTGTCGTCCACCAACAGCCCAAGGCCGGTGAACTTGCTCCGTGCCTTCTTACCCCACAGACAGCAGCCCGGCGACTGAGCGCTACAACCAGCTGCGGGAATGCATCCGCCAGTTCTTTCCAGAACGCAAGTGCTTTGTTTTTGACTGGCCAGCCAGTCAGAGTGACCTGGTCCGCTTGGAGGACCTTCAGGACAATGAGATGAATCCTAAATTCCGGCAGCAGGTGGAGAAATTCTGCGGCCACATCTGGGAAAAGTCTCCACCTAAGACCATCCCTGGTGGCCACATCCTAAGAGGGAACTGTGAGTACTGCTGTCCCGAGGGCCGGCCACCCCGC